CGCCTTCCATGTTTGAAGCTGTTTCAATTTCTACGCTTCAGTCTAACAAATGGCATGGCGATCTTAAGCGAAACGCCCGGCCAGCCCTTCCGACCGGCCTCGAAATCCGACAGGGAGGAGTTACACATAAGGGAAAGGAACTGAGGAGGAGGGGAAGAAGGAAGAGTGCTTGTACCATGGGCGCGATGTCGATGCCACCTGCCGCAGCCGCCGAATACAGGCTATGAAGGAATAGTCGCGGAACCCGTCACTCACGGGACATACATTAATGATATGGATATGGCTGGGAGCATTGGACCAACCGCAGCACCTGCCCTCCGTGGCGCCGACGTGACAATCTGAGATGCTGTCTTGCCACTGCGTGAAATCGTGGAGCGCATCTAAGTTGCGCCCGCCAGCAAAATTGCGTCGCCTTCCCATTTGGACCAGGCGATGAACGCGACGCAGGTTCGTCCTGACCAACGCTGCGAGATATGGGCGGAGGCCCAGAGCAACGTTCTGACCTGATCAACCCCTCTTTCAATGCCTGTAAGATGGTGGTGCGAGGATCCGACTCGACAGGAATTGATCGGGTGTCCCACAAGTGCTGCCGACAATAGGCGATCTTCATTTTCACCACATGGGCATACTTTGCTCCCGCGCCATCTTGGCCGCGTGTAGCTTTTCTTCTGTCCGCGAGGCGGCGCGCGCAGGAAAACCATGCTGTTATTGTGAGCGCGATGCCCGTGTAACATGGCCGCCGTTCCCGTGGGAACTTTCGAATCGACGGGCCGCGGCGTGCTCCCGTGGAGTGCCCGGGCCGAGGACGAGCAGCGGGTCGCCGTGCGTGGAGCCCAACGGGTTGCGGTCGATGATCGAGGGCAGTTTTCCCGCGCTTTCAGGCTGGGCGCGTGCCTCGCGACCACCTGCATGATCGAGGGCAGGATCTCGCGAACGAGGTAATGCGCGGTGGAGTCCAGCCGTCCACACCAGAGAAGTCAGACAGCCTAACAACGAGGCCCCAAGATGGCCCAAGAGAGCCACGGGAGGCCCGAAGGCCAGAAGGGAGCCCCAAGGCAGCCCCAAGAGCCTCCCCAGGTGTTACCCCCAGCGCTTTCCCCGGCAGCTTTCGGAACACGCGGTCCACCGCCTTGGCCGCACGTGCTCCCGACATCTCGCGGCGCAGGCGCTTCCACGAAGCAGTCGGCGGCTGTTCTTCGCCGCAAGGCTCCCAATGCTCACCAGGAACAGTGGGCGACGGTGACTCGCCGTAAGCGTCTCCAATGCTCGCCGCAGCCGGGAATGTGTCTGCTAGGGCTCCCAACTTCGCGCTTCGCGCTCCGCGAAGCGCGAATGACTTCGCGCTCTCGCGCCGCCCCCCCAAAGGGAGAACAGGAGGACGAGGAGGAGGGGGAGAAGGAACGAGGACCGCGAAGCGCGAATAACTTCGCGCCCTCGTGGGAGCCCTTGGTCTGCATGACTTCAGTGCGCACCGATGTGGCGCAGCCGATGCGCCAGAGCACTCCGCGCCGCTGCTCCGCAAGTCGAGGCCGCCGGCTGCGTCGGGGGCCTGCGCACCCGCAGCGCGGGGCAGACTCTGGCCTGGGCCAAGGGCCGACGCAGTCACCCGACGACGACCGTGCGGACGAGGGCCCGCGAGACGCGGCAGTGACCTTGAGTCGGGCGTGTCCCCCTACAGGGGGATTCTCGACGAAAACTAAAAACATTCAAAACATATTCCAAAATGGTCAAAAAATACTCCCAAACAATTTTTTGACTATTTTTGAATATCCCCCCCGTAGAGGGACAGGCCCGACTTAAGCGAAGGGCCGACGCAGGAGCCCGACGACGACCGTGCGGACGATGGCCCGCGAGACGCGGCAGTGAGCGGACGACACGCCGGCAGGGGACAAACACCGACCCCACCGAAGCCGCTGCGCGCGGACTTTCCCGTCGGCGGCGAGGCCGAGCCGGCCGCGCCGGCGAAAGAGCTGGACGGGGGCACCGGACAGGGAGCTGGCCAGCAAGCAAGAAGGGGGAAGAGGGCAGGCAGGCGGCCGCGGGGGAGGGAAGCGGGCCGGGCGGGAGGGGGGGATAGCAGAGGGGGGGCTTGAGAATCAGCTCACTAGTAGCTGTTTTTCCCGGCGCCTCCCGGCGCCGGAAGCGGCCCTGTATCGAGGAATTGGCCCCTCGGTGGGGCCGAAACCGGCTACATGCAGCAGATTTCGAGCCCCCCCCCTTTCCCGATCCTTAAGTCGGGCCTGTCCCCCCACAGGGGGATTTTCGACGAAAAAAAATACCCAAACAATGCCCCAATACGGTCAAATAATTCTTTTGGGCTATTTTTGCATTATCTTTTGACTATTTTTGCACTATCTTTTGATCATTTTTGCACTATCTTTTGATAATTTTTGGGGTATTCTGTATTTTTCGTCGCACATCCCCCTGTAGGGGGACAGGCCCGACTTAGCCCTGTCCCCCCCCCTCTCGCCCTGCCCGAGGGAGGCAGCCACGCGCCAGCCCCCGCGGCGCGCCCGCGCCGCGCCGCCGCAGGGGCCGAAAAGCGCGGGCGGGCGCGCTGCGCGGGGCCTCGTGGAGCCTCGCTGCCTGGGCCCCGTCTTCTCGCCCCCGCCCTCCTGCGCCGTCGAGGCCGACGGGCCCCGAGATCACGCGCGATGCCGCCGGCGAGTCGGAGCAGGAGGAGGAGGAGGAGGAGGAGGAGGAGGAGGAGGAGGAGGAGGAGGAGGAGGAGGAGGAGGAGGAGGAGGATTCAGAGCAGGAGCGGGAGGATTCATTGCCTGTTCTTGTGCCCTTGCCGATGCCTGCGCCCTTGCCGTAGAGCGCTGGGGCGGCACCTTCCTGCCGAAGCAGGGCGCGTTGCGGCCCAGGTCTGCCCTGGCCCCTGCCGGTGTAGGGACGGCCAGGTGGGATAGCGGGTGCGTCTGACTGGAATTTGGATGTGCTGCCAGTGCTTGGTAGGCGCTGCAAGGTTGATTATGAAGTCCAACTGCAAGACCAGCTTCACCAGGAAGCTGTGCGGCAGCATGGCCTGTGGTAGTACGATCTTGAACAGAGTGCCCATTAGAGCGAACATCTTCAGCAATACGCACAGCAACATCAAGCCCTTCGGCAAGAAATGGGGAAACCAAAAAGGTACCAATACCGCTACTCCTTGACCTCTCCAAGGTGCGTTCTGACCAACATTTGGAAGCGAATCCAGCGGTGGCTTCGAGGGCCTTCCAGGAGGCCCGCACAGGGAAAATGAGCCAAAAGTGGCGGTACGGGTACCTGTTCCCCCTCTGAAGAAAATCTCTCCCGCGACGCTCGGGGCCATGAGCGCCGAACTGAATGTGAAGCCCACTGCCATCCCTTCGCTCTTGGTTCGCTGGAGGCCCGGGGCGCTGACCATCTCCGCGCAACACCTGGCCGGGGGCAACCCCCAGCGCCGAGGGGCGGCATCCCCGATGACGCGCAACAGGCCGAGGCCCCGCGGGCGCAGCTGGCGCAGCCGCACCGCCCTGGCCCGGGCGTGGGCAGCCCGAGCCTGCCTCTCAGCTGAGGTGCGCAACAGTAAGACGAAGCCAAGACGAGGAGAACACCGGGTGAGGATCAGTCGAGCATCTGTGCTGTCGGGCTGCTCTGGAAGACACCTCGGGCACCGCGGCCTTCTCAGACCGTGAACGCCCTGGCCGCGTCCCGGAACGCTCTGGAACGGGTCGATGATCCTTGCCCTGGCCGTGTGCGGAAGCGGCTGGACCGCGCGCCGTGACCGCTGCGCTCCACCGGCGGCCAAGGCCACGGCGCCTTGGCCGGAAAGCCGGGCGGCCCATGCTGGCAGCGCGGCGGTCCTCCTCGGCCTCCTTCGCGGCCCTGCTTCTGGGGCCCCAGAAAGGAGGAGGGGGAGGAGGAGGGGGAGGGGGAGGAGGACAAGCTAGGTGCGCTCGCGTCATATCTGACATCCTACCCCTCCCTCCCATCCCTTACCATGGCGCAGATCCCCTCTCTACTCGCACAGTCGGATGTCGAGCAGGGCAATGATTCCGAAAGGGTACGCGATGTATTGTAGAGCACGGCATGGCATGGCGTAGAAGAGCACCGCAAAGCGTAGTATCAACCTAAGATTGCATTGCATGCCGTGGCATGGCACGGGAAATGACGCCAGCGCTGCAGCGGGAGCACGAGTCGAAACGAGCGGAAGCGCGGAAATGAGGCCAGCGCTGCAGCGGGAGCACGATTCGGAACGAGCGGAAGCACGGAAATGAGGCCAGCGCTGCAGCGGGAGCACGATTCGGAACGAGCGGGGCCCGAAAATGAGGTCGGCGCCTCAGCGAGAGCATATTTTGGAAAAAATGCAGGCGAAAACACAACTCCGGGGAAACCTGTGTGTAAAAAAACAATACGCGGGGGGGGGTCGGACACTTTCAAACCGTCATCAGGGGAAGAGGGAGAGTAGTATTCATATTGAGTAATGGTGGTGGAGGAGGAGGAGGAAGGGACTAGGAGGAGGATGAGGAGGAGGAGGAGGAGGAGGAGGAGGAGGAGGAGAAGAAGAAGAAGAAGGAGGAGCAGGGGAGAGGCAGAGGGAGACGGAGGAGTGGGGAGGAGACGCCGGAGGAGGAGGAGGAGGAGGAGGAGGAGGAGGAAGAGGAGGAGGAGGAGGAGGAGAAGGAGGAGGGGGAGGACGAGGAGGGGGCGGACGAGGAAGGGAGGAGAAGGAGGAGGAGGAGGAGGAAGAGGAGGAGGAGGTTGGCTGGCTGGATGGCCAGTCTGCACGTTACGTTACAACATCAAAATGATGAATGCGACCGCAACGCGCGTGTGAGGCATTAGTGCTTAGCTTCGACTGGAAGAGATGCGCTCTCGACCCGCGAATCAAAAAAAGCGCGTGTGAGGCATTCTGCTCACATCGTTGTCAAAAGTCTCGAAGGAACCCCTCCTCGTGTCGACGCGGGAACACCTCGAGCAGAGCACGGCACAGCGTCGAGCGGCCTGCACTCATCACGCTAAAAAGCGGACCATGGTCGAGAGAGTCCTCTCAGGACGATGTGGAGCCAAGGGAACGGGGGGCGGGCGAACGACGCAAGGGGAGCAGAGGGAGGAGGAGAGGCACGCTAACATTCACAATGCATAGGGTGGGGCGGTCAGCTGCCTGCAGCAGCGCCTCAACGCGGGCGACCCTTCCCTTTCCCCGTTCCTCGTCGGCCTCTGCCGTCGGAGCTGCGAATGGTATCCCACCCTCCCCTGCATGGGGTTCGGCCTCGCTCGAGAACGGACCCATGAGGGGGGGTGGGGCAGGGAGGGGTTGACGAGGCAAGGGGCGGCGGAGGAAGAGGAGCCAAAGGGGGGGGGGTCCGTTCACAGGCGCAGCATTTGCTGTATTCTCAGACTGATCTGGGCTCTCTTGTGGCAGGCACCTCTGGGCATTTTCTCGAGATAACTCTGGGCCCGACGCTCTGGCGTTGGCTTCGGGGGGGGGGCATCTTCGCAACCAACGCTCCCGAGATCGATGGAGACGGTTGGCATCACCGCACTCATGTGAGGGAGGACCCCTCCTGGTCCGTTCACCCAGCTGTTGACGAGAAACGTGCGGCGGACCAGTTTGGGGACTCCCTCCTTCTAGTAGGCCGTCTTGGCCCTTCAATGCGTGACGAGCTTGGCTGCTACTACTACTGGCCCTGGAACCAATCTAGGAGGCCCTTGATCATCTTGAGAGGGTGCGCGAGAAAGGGGTTCACCAGAAGAGTCGAGTGTTTGACTATGGTACGAAGAGCTGCTAGCGCTACGCTCACGCTCGGGGGCCCGTACTGATGATCCCAGAGGTGCTTAAAACAAGTTCGAGGTACGTCTGAGCTGCTGCCACTCCTGCTGGTTTGACCTACACTCGTGCGGGGCACAATGCGTAGTAAGCACTGCTCCCCCCAGGCCTCTCGTAAGTTGGCTGCAATTCGCATACCCTTTCAATATCTCCGTCGCCGTTTCGTCCTCTGAATCCTCGTCTAGCTCCATCGTAGGGTCCTTGCCGACCGCTGGGGATGTCGCAACGCTTGCCATGCGAATGTGCTTTGGCCCCCCTCCGAATCCGCCAGCTGAGAATGAGAGCGCCAGTGAACTCTCGGCCAGTCTGTGCTTGTGACTCTCCAGGTCGGTCGGGGTGACTTACATTACCCACTGCGCTGTCAGCCGAAAAGGAAAATACAACGTCGGAGAAATCCACGTCAGATCGTGTGTGTAGCTGGAATGCCGTGAGGGGGATTGTCATGATTGCAAGCTGGGCGTTTACATCAGTACAGTTCCACGATCGAATGATGAAGAGGGCAACGATCACACTGCCATGCCCAACTCTGGAATGGCCGTCGCACATGCTGTCGGGATAACACAAGCATCGGACGAAGTGTTTGCGAAAGCGTCCTCCCCCATGCCTCCCCTCTTCACAGACACGCGCATGAACATACCACCCCTGTTGTTCCTTGAACTCGAGCCCGCAGGCACTCCCGCAGGAATGGTTCCCTGGCAAGTCCAGGTCCCAGATTGAGGCGCGCACTCGGGGTCCAAAGGGAGCAGGGCAGGGAGCGGGCACTTGGCCTCGATCTCCTTCTCCACCTCCAGAGTTCGGTACGGGAGCGGTATTCGTCCAAAGACGCCACGTCTCATGAAACATAGGATCCAGATGGAGACTCCGAAGCTTCTGGAAGTTGGTCTCGTTGGACCCAGGGGCGAACTTCTCCTGGAGAAATCCTAGGTGGATGCTCCCCGTGGCCTGCAAGAGTTCCTTGCCAAGGCCCAAAAGGGAGAACATTCTTACGTCTTTGAGCACCTGTACGGCCCACGGGGTGCCTCAAAAACCTCCCTCGGCGCTGCGAGCGAGGAGCCAGGCACGTATGGTCGGCCCGGTCTCGCCAGTCACCTGGCCAACACGGGCAGCAAGATGTTGAGGCCATCGTAGACGACCAGCTGCTGGGGCCATCGTAGACGGCGTGACCAAGCGGTGTCCACGTCTGTTGGGAGGGGAGGGGGACATGTTTGATGCCGCCATCTGGGTTGTCGGACTTCAAGACCGCGTCCCCGTTCAACACCACCTTGCCGCACTGGATGAGTAGATCACCAATCACGTTATCATCACTGCTGTTAAGAAGGGTCGCCTCGCGTCCACTGAGGCCTGTCGACTGAACTCGCGCCTGAAAAAAAACAATAATCTGGATCCTGCGAGGTACTCGCCCTACGAGCCAGGAGCGCCCCAGAGAGTATTAAGCCTTGCGCGTACTTTCCTGGATGTGCTGGTTGAGCGTTTGTGCCATCATGAAGAGGAAACAGAGGAAGAGGATGCTAAGGAGGAGGAGGAGGAGGAGGAGGAGGAGGAGGAGGAGGAGGAGGAGGAGGAGGAGGAGGAGGAGGAGGAGGAGGAGGGGAGGAGGAGGAGGATACGGAAGGGGAGGAAGATGACGATATGGAGGACGGAGGAGCAGGATGAGAAAGCGGGATTCTGGGATTCCTCGCGCTGCCTTCCGCACGGTGCGGGGCATTGCGGAATTCCCCTATCCTCCTGGGCATTGTGGGATTCCTCCTCCTCCTCCTCCCGCGTCTCCTGCCCACTCCTCCGCCTCCGCCTCCTCCTCCTCCTCCTCCCTCCTCCTCTCCTCTTCTTCCTCCTCCTCCTCCTCCTCCTCATCCTCCTCTTCCTCCTCCTCCTCCCGCGTCTCCTCCCCACTCCTCCGCCTCCCTCTGCTTCTCCCCTGCTCTCGCCCTCCTCAACCCTCCGCCACTTCCTCCGCCTCGCCCCTGTCCTCTCCCCCGCCCTCCCCCTTTCCCGCCTCCTCCCTCTCCGCCCTCCCATTCCCCCACGCGCGCGCGGCCGATACTCCGTCCCAATCTATGCGACCTCCTCGCCTTTTGGGGGCGCACGGACACGGACCTCGGCCGTCACATTTTTTCATATGGATTTTATACTCCTCAGCATGCTCCTCCTCCTCCTCCTCATTGTGCTCTCCGTCCTTGCCTTCCTCCTCACCCCCTCCAACTCATCCTATCTCCGCTTCTCACCTCAACTCCGTATCATTCCCCTCCTCCAACACAAACTCATATTCCTCCTCATCCCGCTCCCCCTCTTCTTCCAGCTCTTGCTGCTGCTGTTCCTCCTCCATCTTCTTGTCCTCATTGTGCAAACAGCTATTCCTGCTTCTACTACAACATCAATCTCCCTCCGCATCCCCCTCCTCCCCCTCCTCCTCCTCGTCGTCGTCGTCGTCCTCCTCCTCCTCCTCCTCCTCCTCGTGCTCTCCCTCCTTGCCTTCCTCCTCCTCCTGCTCCTCCTCCTCCCCCTCCAACTTATTATATATCCGCTTCTTACCTCGACCCCTTCTCATTCCCCTCCTCCAGCACAAACTCCTGTTCCTCCTCATCCCGGTCCACCTCCTCTTCTTGTTTTCGCTGCTGCTTTTCCTCCTCCATCTCCTCGTCGTGACACTTATTCTTCTTTCGACTACAACACACATCCCTCTCCGCCTCCTCCTCTTCCTCCTCCTCCCTCTCCTCCTCCTCGTCCTCCTCCTCCTTGTCCTCCTGCTCCTTGTCCTCCTCCTCCTCCTCCTCTCACCAACCTCCTCCTCCTCTTCCTCGTCCTCGTTCTTTGACTCCTCCTCCTCCTCGTCTTGATCCTCATTCCGTGCCATCCTGCTGCACTTCCTCCTCCTGCTCCCGCCACCACAGCTCGACGTCCTCCTCCTCCTCCTCCTCCTCCTCCTCGCCACCCCTCCCGCACACCGTCCTCCTCCATCGCCTCGGCGGGGCTGCGCCGGCCTCAGCTGCGTCGTGGTTGCCGCGGACGACGACGGGAGGCCGCCCGTGGAACCGCCTCCTCGTGATGTCGGCCAGCCACGAGTCCAGGCGGCTCAGCCCCAGGAGCTTCCCCGTGCAGCTGGACTTCGAGGGGGGGGGGGGCGGAAGGGCGAGGATGGTTTCAATGCGACGGGCGACAGATCGCGCCACATTCCCTGTGCAGTTGTGCTCACCGTCAGGGGGCCGTTCGCAGGCCTCTGGGGCCGTCAGGAACGACCCAGGGTGAAAAGGTTGGTCGTGGGGACTGGGTCGAACGCTCCAAGGCCGACATCTCGAAACAGTCGAATCGTTGGTTGCCGCCCGAGGAAGAGTGGGAACGAGGGATCAGGACGATGACAGAACGAGGTGGTGGAGGAGGAACAGGAGGAGCGCACACAACTTTGGGGGAGGAAAGGCATGAAAGAAGAGGAGGTGGAACGGAAGAATGAGCAAACGAGCTCATGGGGTCCCCCAAAGTTGGGCCAGGCAAGCGGCCCTGGCCTCGCGACTAACATCAGGACTCTGCGAATGTTCCTTCCGAAACACACCGATGTAACTGCACGGTCCTCCCCCGCGCTCTGCGCCAGGCAGCACAGGCCAGGCCCGCACGCAACGGGCGCGGAGAGGCAGGCTCGGGCCCGCACTCGAGGCCCGCGTGCAACGAGCACGGAGAGGCAGGCTCGGAGGCACGAGGTGCCTCAAGTCTTCCTTCTCCTCCTCCTCCGCCCTCTCCTCCTCCTCCTGCTCATCCTCCTCCTCCCTCCTCCTCCTCCTCCCTCCTCCTCCTCCTCCTCCTCCTTCCTCCTCCTCCTCCTCCTCCTCCTCCTCCTCCTCCTCCTCCACCTCCTCCCCCTCCTCCTCCTCCTCCTCCTCCTCCCTCCTTCTCCTCCTCATCCCTCCTCTTTCTCCTCCTCCTCCTCCTCCTCCTCATTTCCTTCTCCTTATAAATGACTTCTCCCTGTCGCACCCCGAGGCCAGTTTTAGGGCGGGTCGGGCGTTTCGCCTGAGACTTTCTCACTAATTATGACACTGAAGCTAAAACATGGACAACCGTTTCACAGATGGAGGGCGGGTCGTTTTCAACATGCGGCTCTCGCCGTACCGCCGCGCACAATCGTTTTCAACATTTGCAAGAGCTTCACGGATGGAGGGCGAGTGGTTTTAAACATGTGGCTCTCGCCTTGGCGCCGCGCGCATTCGTTCTAACAACTTGTAAGAGTTTCACGGATTGAGGGCGGTTCCCTTTAAACATGTGGCCCTCGCCTTAGCGCCGCAACACTTGCAAGAGTTTCACGGGTTCCCAGGGTCACCGTAGCGGAAATTGTGCTTAGAAGAGATTCAGGCTTACGAGGGTGCACAAGTTATGTTGATTTGCGGTGTTCAAGACCCAGGGGTGGCGTTCTAGCACGATTCAGGATCGTCAGGGCGCAACAGTCAGGTTGATCCGTGGCGTTGGAACACCAATAACAATGTTTTGGCATGCTTCAGGGTCTTCAAACAGCTGTCTTCTGACGAGGCAGTTCCCTCAGTAAAAAAATACGCCGTTGAAGGGGCCTATGAAGAGGGAGCTTGGGGGGAGGGTTAATCCCACCAGCCCTTTGGGCGTGAGTGGTTTAGAGAGCTCTCTCTGTTCTCAACCCCCCTTCTTCCCCTTCGGGGAGGGGTTTACCCCTCCCCCTCCCCCCTCCCCCTGGGCCTGGAGAGGGCGCCCCGCGGGTCGTTGGAGGGGTCTTTTTCGACTCCTGGGAGGGCTAAAAAACGACACCCCTCACGAGGATTCTGGCCCCGACGGGGGGAGGCAGACAAGTGCTCCCCTCTTCTTTGAAGCCAAAATCATTAATTTTACTACGGTTTTGGCCCAATTTTGGCCTTCTGAGGGGGCAGCGCTAATTAACGCTCCCCTCTTCTTTCAAGCCAAAATCATCGATTTTACTAAGGTTTTGGCCCCATTTTGGCCTTCAGAGGGGGCAGCGCTAATTAAAGCTCCCCTCTTCTTTGATCGATTTCCTCCAAGATGGCCCCAAGAAGCGCCCAGGAGGCACCAAGAGGCCCCAAGATGGCCCCAAGAGGCCCCCAGGAGGCCCCCAAGAGGATCCCAAACGGCCCAAAGACGCCCCCCCGAGGCACCCAAGACGCCGAAAAGCCCATCAGGACGACCCTCTACTCGCCTGGGCGTCGTTTCTGGACGGGCAGGAGGAGGGGCCCGAACGACTCACACCAGGACGAGGGGCCCGAACAACTCACACCACGAGAAGCCCGAACGACTCACACCAGGACGAAGAGCCCGAACGACTCACACCACGAAGAGCCCGAACGACTCACACCAGGAAGAAGGGCCCGAACGACTCACACCAGGACGAGAAGCCCGAACGACTCAAACCACGAGGAGCGCTTTCTCTCCCTCCTCCTCCGCCTCGTCCTTCTCCCGCTCCCACCACAAAGAGGATGTACAAGGAGGCGGGAGGAAGGAGGAACAAGGGAGATATGCGGGGGCAGGCGGAAACACGCCTGAAAAACACGACTGTCGGCATGCTTCGCTAGAGTTGCTGTTTTGAGATGGGCTGGTGGGGATACGCGAAGCGTGAAGAATTCCAACATCGTTGATGCCTCTTCCCTGGGGCAAGGCCTGCGAGGAAACTCCCCCTCCTTAATGTGCAGAGCTTCTACTAAGACCGCCAGGCCCGCCCCGAGCGGAGAGTCCTGATTGAAGGTCTCAATTATGGCACGCGATGCCGTACTCTCTATTGTTCTGGAGCTTGAGACGGAAGCAGGGGGCCGAGCAGGCGACCTCTTTCACCGATGCATTCTTGATCTTGCCCCCATAGCTGACGTGACGCCTACTTGTTCATCACCTCCTCCGTCGTTGAGCCTCCTGCTGCGACTGTGCGGGTTCCTCCGTAGACGGCTGTTGCTGTTGCTGGGGTCACATGAACATGAGGGGAGGAGGAGGAGGAAGAGGAGGAGGTGGAGCGTAGCCGAAGCGGAGGAGGAGGAGGAGGAGGAGGAGGAGGAGGAGGAGGAGGAGGAGGAGGAGGAGGATGAGGACGAGGAAGAGAAGACGAGGAGGAAGAGGAGGGAGGACGACATGGGGGGGAGGATGAGGAGGAGGAGGAACAGGAGGAGGAGGAGGAGGGAGAGCTGGTCTTGAGGTCAACTTCCTGGCCTCCTTGTTGGCGCTTCTGAGGGCACTGGCTCTCGTCGTCGCATGGTTGTTTTCCCTGCTCGAGTGAGGGCAGCTGCCAACCCCACAGCCTGCTGGGACGCCGTACCTGGGACATGCACTGCCGACTGGCTGTCGGCTACCTCGCGAACTGTGGACGGGAAGGGGCGCCTCGTGCACTGGATGATCTGCTTGCCGCCGCCTCCCCGTCCCCAGCTGCTCCCCCTTCGCCTTCTTCCCATCCTTGTCGCCTCCCCCGTCCTTGCCCTCCTCCTCTCCGTCGCGCTTGGCGAGCTTGCCCATGTTGAACCACGAAGGCGAGTCCAGCGTAGTTGCCGCCGCCGCTGCCGCCGCCTTGACCAACGGGGTCGAACGTTTCAATACCCACAGGAAGGTGGGAACAGAAGTGCGTGCACACTTCTTTTAGGCTCGAGCCCCATCCCGAGACTTCGGCACGCAAGCGTTAGTCCTAAAGGCAGACGTCCAACTAGTCTGACAATTGACCCGCTCCATTGACCATTGTAGATGTTGCCCCGTGTTCGACCTGCTGGCAAAGACCTGGGAGCACTTGATGCAGACGTTGTCAGGCGTAGGGATGTGGGCCAACTTTCTGATCAAGTGCACGTCGCCCCGTATAATTCTTACGTCGAGATCTCGTCGAACAAGTGGCAGTGCAACTCTCCCCTCCCACGTTCTTAATGCCGCACACGATAGGCACGGATGCAAGGTCGGCGTTCCTGTCCTCCTCCTCCTCGCCCTCCTGGGCGGGCTCGTAATCGGGCGGGGGGGCAGTCTTAGAGTACCAGCGAGCTCTGGCCTGGGAGACAACGTGCGATGCAAACTCTGCCGATACATCTGGGCCTGTTGAGAATCAGATGCCAACTGCAACCATCTCCAGTCTGCCTTCCTCTAGCAAGTATGCCGCCGTGGCCATGTCATCTCTAACTTGAAGAACTCAGGGCGATGAGAACTGGGCAGGCTGGCCAACCACACTCTGTGGCCGAAACTGATCCAGGTGCATTTCACCAAGGGGACACTATAACACCTGAATGGGGTTCTTGCCATTACGCGCCCAATTCTGGTAGAGCCGAAGACTTCGGATCAACATGTATACCCTAATACGTGCGATCCCCCAATTGCTTAAGACCTGCTTGTTACTACAACTCCTGACCTTGTTCCCCCTCCTCCTCCTCCTCTTCCTCCTCCTCCTCCCCCTCGATGGCCATCCTTACACATGCCGTCCCCATCGCTGTCGGTCCACGGCCCAATCGATCATCGCCTGCCTTCTGAAGGATCAAAGGTTCCAGCCCGCTCATAAGGGCTTTCTAAGCCAGACCATGGCAAGGGGGGCCTGTGAAACGATAAGGGGGAGGTAGCGACCACACGCGACCACGACTGTTACTGGAAACCCAGGAAGCTTGGAGTCGCCGTGCAATACAGTGAAACACCGTCTCTCCATCCACCAAGTGCGGCCCGAGGTAACGAACCAGATCGCCTGCAATGCCACTGAGCAGATCTGTGCCGTCGCGGCTTATCGTCTTGCTGCGCTGTTTCCCTGCGCTGAAATGAAATAGAAAACCTTGCTTACCCATGTTTTGCCCATACCCGTACTCCTCGAAGTGGTGGTTTAAGAGATTATGGTGATCGTAGTTGCCGTAATGCGTCTTCCAGAGGAACACTAACGTCGCACAATACTAGATAATGAAGCTCGCCTGTACACGTCAGTGGGGATAGATCCGCTCTGAGGTCGCCCTACCTCGCTGCCAGCTCCTTCGCGCATGAGTCATGCTCCAAAGAATCTCTTCCTCCTGCTAAAAGTGGGCGAGTGAGCGTGGCAAAGAACATGGAAACAATGAAGGGGCCCACCATCGCGCCGCACTGGCCAGGCCTCACCATATACCCGCAGTCACAAGACTGGCGGGAATGACACAACTCGTTGTCCTGCTCACGGCAGTGGAGGGCAATCGAGGGATCTCTTTCGGCATGTGTCGCACTGGCGAACGCATTCGGTATGCCCTTGGAGCAAGCAGCGAACGTCCGAGACACCGCCCTTAACCTCCACATTCTGTTCGTCGAGATGAGCACCTCCTTCTCCCTCCTTCGTCCTGACACAGGCCCATGATCCTGAACCGTCGGTGTAGGAGAAAACTAACGAGAGTAGAACGCCTTCCCCACGGCTGGCAACACATGAACGACGAGCTTGCCCAGAGGTCAGACCGTGTGTCTCTCATGTCGAACCGCCACTCGACTGCTGTGCCGGTAGAGGGGCGTGAATCGATGACGCCGCATCTTTTGCATCCCCACGCTCACGCGGAAAAGTAAAAGCTTGTTGGAGGGATGGGATTGGTCCACTTCTGGGCCGAACCGTTCTTGCACGCGCCATGTGGGAAACAAGACCATGTGGCAGAGCTCCAGTGGAGCCGTACCAACAGGAGCAATTGTCTTTTCGGGACATAGATCATGCATCTTCTTTTCGGAGCATAGATCCGCGGCAACCGAATCGATGAGGTTCTGATCCGTGGGGTCATAGTCGTAACTGGGTCCCTCTCTGTGCAGTCTCCAAGGTTCCCACGAAAGCTCCTCCACCTGCATCCCACCTTCTGCGCGTGGGCGGCGCCATACATCCAACCACCCATACGAAGACGGGAGCGAACTACCAGCCAGGCACGAGTCTCTGCGTTTTGGCCCAGATCTACATCGATTCTCCAGACTGGAGGCGCCTCCGCAGGCCGATTCAGTACTTTGTGGCTTCATCTGCCAGTCGGGCCCGGTGCTGGCGCAGGCGCTGTCGCTGCTCGGGGAAAAACGACGAATCGATGTTACCTTCTTGACCTCCTCCTCAATACGGTCTCCTGCCCAGGCAGCCGAGCTGCCAGTGGCACGCCTCTGGAGCGGATGCCGAGTCTCCACCCAGCGGTGCGACAAATTCGCTGGCCCAACGGGCCAAGGGCGTTCTAAGATCTTCGGCAGCAGCTTGAGAATCCTTCGAGTGCGCGCGCGCGTGGCTGCCCTCCTGGGGGTCCCCAGGTGAAAAATACCGCAAGCAAATCGCGGGCGGTCCCCGGGCGAGTCCCGGGCGGTCCACCGGGGGGTCCCTGGGCGGTCCCGGAGTCCCTGTCGCGGATGCGACAATCCCTGGGGGCTGCCTCGCGTCTCAAGAGGCCCCCAAGGCGGTCTAGGAGGGCCGAGAGTCACTGGAAGTCGTTACGAGATGCCCAAGACGGCCTCCAGACTGCTGCAACCGCCTCCAAGACGCCAGAATAACGATTCTACACTGGCTTTTGAAGGTCTTCAGAGTTCTCACCTTTTCGACCGCCGACGCTCAAAGACGGCCCAAGAAGCTCCTAAGATCGCTCCGATAAGGCCCATTAAGCCTCCAAGAGAGCCCCAATGCGGCCCACGGGGGCTTATCGCCAAAGTTTTCCCAAGACTGTACTGGAGAGCCCCAAGACACCTTCAGGAAGACCCCTAGACGGGGAGCCCCAGCGGACATTTCGACTGTTCGGCCTCAAAATCGCCCCCAGAGGCCCCCCCCCAGGCCGCCGAAGAGCTCCAAATAGGCCTCCGGTCTCCAAATCGCTCCCCAAAGCCCCCCCCACCCAGGCCTTCGAGGAGCTCCCAATAGGTAGCCCCGCGATGCTCCCAAGACGCGCCCAGGCGGCCACGAGAGGCCTCCAACAAGTAGCTCCCCAGAAGCTCCGCGAGCCCTTCAACGGGCATCCCAACAGACCCTGCACGGTGGCGGAGTGGGCCGAAGACCATGGCATCCATTGCCGCTTCGCCTGGTCCAGCGAGGCATGGAGTCTCCATGCGGAGGGGGCAGGACGAGACAATTAAAAAGACATCTGGATGCCCACCTGAAACAACAAGTACAACGCCGGCCAAACTACGCAACGATTCTACAACAAAATCTCCCAGATGGTTTCATCTCCAAACCGCCGACCGTCACCCGGCACAAAGCCAAATACCCGACACAGCAGCGCATGCACCACCGCCCCCTTCACTGCGTACGTGGTCACCACGGTCACGTGCAAGAACGTACATGCACCGCCTCATGCCTTTGGCCTTTGGCCCTCCACAAGGCAATGCACAAACATCGAAACAGAGGGCGTACACGGCTACATGCACAAACGTCACATCACCGATTCATAACGTTGGCCCTCCACCAGAAAATGAGCAAGCATCGAAGCATCAGGCGCCTACAGTAGACGAACAACGGCGTGCAACACCGTGCCACTATCTATACATAATCGCGGATTTCCGAGCCGTCCTTTCGCCCAGGACAGCGACCGAGAACCCTCCGAAGAGACACCAAAAGGCATCCATGAGGATTCTCACCCACAACCGCAGTTGCGCCGACCAGCAGCGCCGCATGGCCCACGAACGCGCACGCAAAAGCCAACGATGCATTAATGTGGGCCGTCGGAATGAACGTAATGATTAAATCACCGCTTGAAAGTTTAGAAAGAGGAGGGATAGACAAGGAGGGTGGGACATGTAGAGGTGGACGGACATGTGGAGGACGTGGGGGACATGCAGAGGTGGATGGTCATGGAGATGGACATGTGGAGAACACGCGGAGGTATTGTAGAGGGGGATAGACACGCTCAAGGGGATTCGAAGGTCGAGGGTTGGCTGTGTCCATAGGACCGCAGTCCGCTAAACGACAAGGGGGAGGCGCACGAGGAGCGGCAGGGGCGGAGGAGGAAGACGAAGAAGAGGAGGGAGTGGACGGATGAGGAGGATGAGAAGGAGGAGGAGGAGGATAAGTGAGCTGGCGTCAGAGGGACGGCTAACACATAGCATAGGCCGTTACCTTGCGCGGGCCCGTCCTCGTCAACCGGCGGCGGCTGGCAGCGCCACTCAGGCGCGTGCGGGAGGAAGCTGTTGGGGGGGTTATGCTCCCTCCCAACCTGCCCGACAAGACCGTGACAACCAGGCTGTCTTCTGAGAAGTCCTGCCATCCCGGCACGACTACCCAAATCAGCCCCTCGGCTGCGGACAAGCCCTGTGACACAAGGCGTGGGTACATCACTTGAGCCGAAACGGCTACAGAGGAGGATAAAGATCATGAGCAGGAGGAGGAGGAGGATGGAGGAGGAGGAAGAGGAGGATAAAGATCATGAGCAGGAGAAGGAGGAGGAGGAGGAGGATGGAGGAGGAGGAGGAGCCTCGAGCGTGTAGTCTCCGCAGTGCACAAGCAGGTCCCCCTCCGGAATGTCCTCTGGCTCCAGCTGCTCCTGCGCGCATGGAGCCCCTCCCTCCCTCGTCCACCCTTCTCTGGTTCATCCTCCCTCGTCCCTCCCGTTCCTCGTCCTCGTCCATTCCCTCTCGTACCTTTTGCCCCCCACTCGCTCTCCTTCCTCCCTCCTCCCCTCCCTCCTCCCCCCTTCGCTACTCCCTTGACCTCTCGTTACTCCTCCCTTCTTCTACCACCTTCTCCTCCTGCTCCTCCTCCTTCTCATCATCATCACCATCATCACCATCATCACCATCATCACCATCATCACCATGCAACACATCACCATGACCATAAAACCATCATCAACA